GATAACCATTTGGCTGGTTGAACAGCATTTGAACAAGTGCCCCTCCAATAATTTGTGAAAGGAATTGTCTGAGTGAAGTTTTAATGTGACTTTCCTTCTGCTAAACTTTTTGAAATGAATATTCCTAATGCAATTTTATCACTCACTTGTAATTTTTGCACTTTGATACTGCTCTCTTGGAAGTGATAGGAGAAGAGTTTCTCCTTAACAGACGATGCATGTTTTCAAGACTGGGAGGCCTGACCAGTGATTTTAGTTCAGCCACATCTAAAAATGTTAGTAAAGAAAGCAGAAACCATTTAAGAATATTCTAGTGTAGCAGGTAGGCAGGGCTAATCACTGTAATTTACCACCAAGAATAGTGACCTGAATGGCAGCCAGATCCACCTATAGGGTAGGTAATTTTGGGGAGACATTTTGTGCTGGGATTAGATGGGATCAGTGAACCTAAAGAGAGTTTTGGCACATGCAACTCCATCATGTATATTTGTTTATTTCTAGTTCACACCAATTTCTGTTGTGATTGGAATAGTCTGGAGGGAAGAGGTCTAAAACAATGGAGTTTCCAATCAGTGTAATAGTTAGTTATGCTTCATGATAGTCTTTTATGCAGCCATAAAGATTCTAATGCATTCATTGGCCTTTTTTTTATTGCTGTGGTCAAATGTTTGTGTTTCCGATCGAAAAGACTAGGCAGTATTGAGTTTTTCAGCACAATGGAGCCAAACATTTGATTTCTGAATGGATAAGATATGGTTATGAATATACCAGTCCAGTCTGGTTTCTGTCTCATACTCAGATCTGGCTAGGTTTGGTTTCCTGCTCTGTTTTTAAGTTACTTATGTCCAAAGCAGCAGGTCTGTTATTTCTCTGATTACATGAGGGAGATTTTCATGGTTGAAAAATCTCCCAGAATTTGATACTTTGGCATCGAAAGCCAGACTCACATTGCAGACAAATTAAGCCTTAAAATGTGGATATTGATATAAAAATACTTCTGATCTAGATATCACTTCTTGATCTGTAATATTCAGTAAAAACCAAAGAACTCAAACTGCCTATAGAAAAACATCACCATTTTTATAACTATATAATTACCATATCTACCCAAGGCCTGCCTAGTTTTCTTGCTCTGGACATGCAGTAATTATTGAAGCAGGGATGTGAATTTAATCTTCCCTTTTATCTGCTGAGTGATAAAATCAGGCATTATAAACAGTTTTCTTTATCCAAAGAAATATTTATTTTATTTTATTTTATTGGTGGACTAAAACCACCAATGAATAGAAACTATTTCTGTAGTTTGGTGGAAATTACATAAAGCATTCACCTGGAGCATCTTCTCTCTGACTTCAGTCTCTGCTCACTGAAGACTCTCCTAGATCTCACATGGGCTAAGTGACTACGAGGATGGTCACTGTTGGCTAAGAGGCTTTATTAAGTGGAAAATGAAGTCCTGCTTTTAGTTTTGAACCTCCATATGGGCCATTCACTTCCGAGTTGGACTTGATGACCCTTGTGGATCCCTTTCAACTCAAAATATTCTGTGATTCTGTGATCTGTAAAAGAGTTACACTAAATTCATAACCCTTGTGAAGATTTAATATAAAATGAGTTTTTTTAAATAAGAATTTCTATGGAAGAATGATTTTTTATCAACTCTAATTTGTGCATACTGAGCCTTTCCTTCCTAGGGTCTTTCAAGGTTCATGACTAAATTAGTTTCTAGGAAAGGACGGAGAATGATGACATCTTGCTGCTAAGTGTGTCATTTATATGACACAGGAATATAACCTTGGATTGTCAAATGCATCAGCACTAACAAATACACCAATAACTTTGAATTGATAAGGATATTGGGCTGGGAGACTTATCCTCAATTATCAGCAGAGCAAAATTAAAAAGATAAGTAAATCCAAGGTTTTAGAAGACTGTGTGGACACCTGGACATGTTTTTGTGCCTTGACCCTTCTGCTTGCATTCAAGAAGATCCACCGGGAATATAATCTACTGCAAATGGGTAGCTCAGGAAAATTATGGAAGAAAACTTGGTTTTTCATGTCTTGTGGTCCTCCTCCTGCAGTGGGAGCTAGTTCTCAGAGCTCCAGAGTCAGGTTTTCATCAGAAGCCTGAGAGATGAAAATGTAGATAAACTTCAGATGTGAATAATGTGCTGAGAGTCACAGAAGATGTCAGCTCAAAGAAGAAAACATACATGTTGAATTGGGGATGAACACATGCCAGTTAAGGGCTACATATGTATTACCAGCTGGGAGAGTATTTTTTGAGTTTCTGGATCAGGCATGTTTCTCACATGCATCCTGATTTCATATTAGGGTATAAGTCAGCCACCACCTTCCCTCACAGCCCCGTTGCCACAGAAAACAACCCAGGTGCATGGGTGGGAGTAGCTTTGGCTGCTTCAGCTGGTTTCCCAATCAGTGGCCAGAACACTAAAATTTGAGAACAGTCAAAAAGAGTACAGCCCTTGTGTTTTGACTGGAGATAAATGTATCAGATCTGATCTAGAAATAATAAATATTGTCATGGTTTGAAAGACAGGTGTCTTCCAAGGAAGGTGGGGACCTCCCTTGGAATAGAGAATATGGCCCGCTTCTGTCTGAATTATTGTAAATTTGAAAATAAGGTGCTTTCAGGCAAAGATATGGAAAAGGAATAACAGTTCTTTACTGCTATGTCTGTGTATAACAAGGCAAACAAGCCATAACAGCAAACAAACCAGAGCACCCGATGAAGTCGCCTCCTGGCGGTTTATCCCATTTCCCCTTGGTGCAGTTCTGGTCACAGCCAGCAGGGGCGCTGCTGGCTCCAGGCCAAGCAGGGCAGTGCTGTGATTCCCCCGCGCCCGCAGGGGGCGCTGTGACGCGAGCTCAGGGACCACGCGGGGATGGCGGCTCGGCCCAGATGGGAAAGGATGGAAAAAGGGTTTTCTTTACAAATTCTCAGGGGTAGCCAATCCAGGTGCCCCTCTGGATAGTGTAATGAGTTGTAGCTGGGACCTCGGAGCAGCAGCTGGAATGGCAGGGATCAGAAAAGTCCTGGAGTAGTAGACAAGATAGGTCAGAAACTCCGCGGCTGTAGCAGGAGTTCTTGGCAGGCACTGGGTGTGGGGCTGCAGTGTAGTGGGGAAAAAACCCGGAGCAGTGGCAGAGGAGCAGTGGGGCTGGGCAGTGGCAGCCTGGCTCCTGAACATGGCAGGAAGAGGTTCCCTTGAACAGAGAAAGAGGCTCAGGGATCCCGGGATGCCCTGAGGGAGCTGAGCAGATGGGGAAGGGTCCCCTGTCTGGTGAGGCAGCGTGTTAATAAAGTCCCAGTGCTTTTTAAGAGCAGAGTTCTGCTCATAGGAAGCATTGGGACTTTATTAACACTCTACCAATGCTTCTTATGAGCAGAGTTCCACTCGTGATAGGAGGCAGCAGAAGATAGAATCCCACAGTTGGTGGTGAATGCTTCTGACAGTGACTCCGGCCTCTCTTACCCCCGAATGCTGAGAAAGCAAGACAGAGCTAGGAGATGCGCCCAGCCCTTTCCCTCAGCCCCAGTCTTGTGGTATCTCTGCTCTTTCCAGGAGAATGTCTCTCAGCTACCATAGTAAAGCCAGCTGCACTCCACCCCTTTCTCCATGGTTATTTCTTTTCTTTCTCCTAAGTACCAATTATTACTGCTTTTTAGCAATAAAATGGGAGAAAATGCCCTAAGAGAAATAAAACAAAAAAGGAAAAATCCTAACCTCTAACAAATATGTACAATAGGGACAGGATCTATCAAGTTCCACTAGTGTCTGTTCTGGAAAACCTCTACAGCAATGTGCTTCACTTGGGCAACGTAGTTACTTCTTTACTTAGGCAGTGACATGGATTTCTTTGGCTTCTCCAGAGGGTTTTCCTCAATTTTATATTAATTTCAAAGGATGATTGAATTTCAGAAATTTGGGAAGAGTGGCGTTTTGAAAGGAAGACTATTCATTGGCATGGCCTGGCTAAAAATCTGAACGCACTTTCCATAAGTTAGCTTGTCTTCAGACCTGAGGTCATGTTATTGGGTGTTTTCCACTAAGAAATGTCACCTTAGGTGAGCCTTAGGTCATGGATGTTACAGTCACTGTGTCTCCAACAGAGACATGCTGAAGGGAGCATGTGCATATACACTGGTATAGTGAAAATAAGGGAGAACTTGTTCATGTAATTGCCACAGCTAACTGTTTTCCCCAGTAAAAGGAGCTCTCTCCAACCATCTTAATAGAGAATGTGTTCTTCGGTATGTGACGCCAAAAGGAAAATTCTTCCTATCAAAACTTTAATAACAGTCCCTTTCTTTTCCTGGCTGCTCCCATATTCTGGAAATGGCTATTTGGAGTCAGGATTACTCAGGAGTTGCCTCACACAGCTGTCAGAAAGGCACACAGGCAAATTGTGTCTGGTCTCTGGCCACACCCTGCTGGAAGTACATGTGGCCCAGCCAGATAAGAGGCATTTTTTCTACTGGAGGGCTATGGACAAGACCTAGCTCATCCATGCCTGCCAAGATTACAGTGCAAATTTGACAGGCCATGACAAGATTTCAGTTTTAGTAACACTGTTATTGGTAATGAAGATCAAGACATTTTGAAATTAAAATGTCATTTAATTGTGTGTATTTGCACACAGTTGGCCTTTTTTTTATTCCTTTAAATCAGTTTGTCCTCTCATTCTGTCTGAAATACAGCTCTGCAGGAGAGTGGCTGTACAAATTCACTCAGGAGCTAGGTCAGTCTGTTTTCACCTAGAAGCAATATGTTCTTGCCCAGAAATCTACAGTGCAATGCTGTGAACCCACTCTGAGGATTTTACTGACATATCCTGAGAAATCCTGGTGCTCAAGGGTTGTTTGTCAATCCCTGGCTTTCTTGTTTACATTGCCTCTTATCAGTAGAGCAACAGACTGTTTGCATAGCAGCTTGTCTTCCTTCATCTCAAGACTTCTGAAGCAGTTCCCCAAAATGTTCCTGCCTTTGACCTGACACTGGATCTGCTCTAGCCACTGAAGCTATTCAAGGCCAGATCTTCCATTTCACTGGATGGGGAAACTCCTCAGGCTGTCTCCAGGCTCTTCCCAGTAGAACACTGTGCACTGAAAGGTTTGGTTTAACTGGAGTAGGTATGCACACATAATGTACCCAAAAATCACCATAGGACCTGCCACCTTCTTGAATTTTTCATGTAGTAGATGCCTGGGGGATTTCACACAGTTCTCTTGCCCTGAGGTAGAACTCAGTCTGACTGGGAGGTAATTTGACTAAAGTCCTTCCTATCTTAGTTTTACTATCACAATACCCCACCCTGTGGTCTTGGCTATGGACCAACTGGAAGGAAAGAAAGTCAAGTTCCCTAGATTTCCTCTAGATAAGAAAGGAAATATAGATGTGGTGACTAACAAACTGATCTTACTTGGAAAAAGAAGCAGCATCTTCTTCATCCATGTCTTTTCAGTGACCACATGGCTGGCAAAAGACCAAATTATTCCTCAAAAGATAGGTCTATAGCCCTCACAAAGACAGGCTGTTGGGAGACACTGATAAGCCAGGTCTGAGGCAGTGCCAGGTTTTTCTCTGAAGCAGTCAGAGAAGGTGGTAGTATCATGGCATTACTGCTTATCTGCATTCCTCTGTGTGGAGTCCAGCATTACATCTCCAAGGAAGATATGGGCCAGCATCTCTTTGAACCTGTCACCCTTGCAATTATTATGAAAAACCCCAAGTTCTATGAACCAATTGAAATTCCAGACCGAAATTAATTGTCCTTTATCATTATGCCTAAGAGCAGAAGACATTGCAGCTGTACTGGAAAGACTAAAACTGAACTGCCTATCAGCAGGGAAGAGACTGAGTTCATCCAACCTTAGCCACATTAAAGGTGCAATCTAGCATAAGTCATTTGCCTGGCCTCTCCTTCCAGTCAATGGAACAATTCCATAGAGTGATTCACTGCATCCTAGGAATAGTGCCTGAGGTAGGAGGGGTGAATCACTCTGGGGAATTGCCTGGCTCTCTCTGAAGAGAGTTTTGCCAGACAGCTTTGATGAAGAGCCTTTCTTCATGTGCTTAAAATTAGATAAGATGAATCCTGCCTCTAAATGTTCAAACTCACTGTCTTTCTGAAACAATGAAGAGCTGCAAATTGCATGAGAATGCAAACAGCTGATATTTTTAAGTGACAGCCTTCACTCAAGGCCAATCCTTCATCTATTTCACAGGCAGGGTGGAAGGCAACTGGACGGTGCAGTCTGGCTGGGAGGTGCTCGCTCAGTCTGCAGTGAGAGGTGCAAAGCTGCTCCTCTCACCTTTGCTCCCAGGTCTGGCTCCAGTTCTGACACCTCGTGATTTGCACTCATCTTGTATTTCCACATCATGCTCTAGGAGGTCTCTACTCCCATTCAGCCATACAGCAAGCAAGCTATTAAGAGTTGCTATACCTCTTAGATAGGTAAAGCTTACTGCTCATTGCTGTGAGTGCAGTGACAGGCACGAGGGCCCATGAAAGCCATCACCTGTATGAACTACTGCCATGGGTACTGTGCAGGCAGGGGTAATGGGTGACCCTGTCACACAGACAAGACACACAATTCCTGCAGAATTGACTCCAAACATTGACTCTCAGTGTGTCTTTTTCACCTAACACCCCATGGATGACTGCTGGAGGACTTCCACCAATTACAACATGAACATGATGTGAAAATTAAATAATTTCACAAAATTGTGAAAATTATGAATCCAGCAATATTTGTTTTATACCAAGCACAAGATTTGGGGGGAAAAAGTAAACCATGTAGAAAACAAACATTTATAGAGGATTAAATGCTCTCAGGTATGAATTCATTATCTTTCTTCTCAGGCTATGGACTTCTAATGAGTTAGGAATTCCAGACACAGGACAGTGAAATCATCATCTGAATTAACTATATTCATGTCCAGTTTTGTCAATATTTTTTGTTCACAGACCTGAGAATGGTAGGCTTTAGATCCTTTTATATGCTCCCTGTTAAATTTTAGTCCTGTAAATATTTGCACATTTAAATCAGTAACCCTAAATGCCTCCATTTTTAGTATGCAAAGGTAATTTCTTCATAGAGGACAGAATGGCACAAGTGGTGTCCTTGTAATGCCATTCTGGCAGAAAACAAGCCCTGGAATACCCATGGATAAAAGCCCTTTTTTTCGAAGAAGGGCATTTCCGGTTATCTCATTGCTTGATCAGAGGTCAAAAGGCTTGTCCCTGCAAAGATTATCCAAAGTTTAAATAGTGGCTGATCAATTAATATCCGTTTATCTAGAAGGTCCCAACAGAATTTTTCTTTTTGGTGGTCTATGTATTTGAGGACATAGGTCCTCAGGGGGATTAAAAGAGACACCAGAACCACGTGGTGTTCCCAGAGTTCCTGCTTTTGATGTACCAGAGGCAGTAGGGAAGCCTGATGCCTCTTGCACAGCCCACATCTGTCTGGAAGCATGTCTGACCTCCCTCCCCCGCAAGCTGTTCTGCAGGGAAAGCAAAACCATTTATTTTTAGCTTTCTTTCCAGTCAGGGATGCTGGCAAGTCCCTGCTGTTTGCTATTCCCTCAGTTTGCACCCTCTAAATGAGGGAATGGGGCCCCTGTGGTAAATGTTAGATGTATCCTAATGGCAATCACTTCAGGAGAGTCCATAAGAACAAGAGCAGCTCTTCCCCCGTGACAGCTGGGAGGGCCATGATGAGCAGCGATAGGTGGCCCAGGCCTTCAGAGGAACTGCTCTCCTTGCCCTTGCCCTTTTGTGCCCAGCTGCAGCCCTGGGAGTACCTGTTGGTCCATGCAGAGCCACAGAAACAGCAACAGCGAGTTTCAAAACCTCCCTCCCCTTTTTGGCTTCATGGCTCAAATAAAGAGACTTGTGTGAAGTTACTCACACACAACTCTGCACAAGTCAAGCAACTTTGGGAGAAAAAGTCCCAGCCCATGAGCATTCCCAAGCCTTTAAAAATATCACACCCATTTGTATCTGCACAAAAATAGATTTAAGCAGTTCTCTTATGATTCTGTGACCATTAAAGTTTAGCAAGAAAGCAGAGGGAAAATAGGGGGGCATTTGTCTGCAGACAGTAAAAATAGAATGGCATTTTTGCAAATTACTTTTCTAGTCTGTCAAGTGATTTCTATACAATGTATGATACTGGCACGAAATCTGCCAGTCCATAGATTTTTCTGGATTATGATCCATCAGTCTTAATTTCTCTCCAATAGATGATGATAGATAACACATGATTCACCACTTACCTCACCTTATTTTTCAGTGATGACTCTGTGGCTGCAGAACCCAACATTGGTTCAGGGGGCAGGAGAGAGATAAACTCAGTGTCAGTATAAAAGTGTCAGTCTTCTGAGAAAAACTACAACAGATGCAAGTGCTGGAGGTCTAGCCCCTCTTGCTATTAAGCAGGCTAAAAATACAGTAATAGCTCTTAGTCTAAATTTCTTGTAAGAATCTCTAAGGGCCAGTGACAATGTTGTGGTTGTTAAAAATTGTTCAAGTTGGGGCTGAATATCTCAGTCAAGGGTATTTCCACATTAGTGTGAGCAATATGTAAGCAAAGTTTAGAACGGAAACCTTGGACAGAATGGGAATAGGAATCTCTTTTTTCTTCCAGAATGGCTGGCTGACTTCCCTGGAGGACCTCTCTTGGGGCAAGATATGAATGAACTCGAAGAAGTCAGATACCATATACCAATAATGAGGGGAAGCAGACAATATTCACAATTGCCCTTACCCAATCCCCTCCCCCCCATACTTCCTCCCTCTTCTCCACTCTTGTGCTGGGTTTCACAATTAGATGCAGACAGGAAGCTGGTAAATGACTTTCAATTACAAATGCTGACAGGCTGGCTTCATGGAAATCAGTGACAAAACTCACACTTTTCAGAAGAATCATAACTTTATCTGCACTGCAAGAGGCAGATCACAGATCATGAGTATTGTACTGTTTTTGCAATAGTATGAGATGAGCAAAAGTGTCATTTTGTCACTGTTTGACAAGAGATTATTTTGGAGCTACTCAACTACCTCATTCAGTTCAAGACACAAAATGGCTCTGAGTCAGCTGAAATGATTTGTTCCCTAGTTCCTCTAATAATAAGAGCATTTGGGTATCATTTTCAAAGAAGGCCACATATTGACAGGAGGAGTTAGGCAAATAGATAGCTGGTAAATAGATAGCACAGTCGTTATTGAAGCCCCAACAAATGAACTGCTGTTTCAAAACAACCTTTATTCTGCTTGAAGACTTATTACATTTTTAAAGCAACTCAAAAACAAGACACAGCTCCATCAATTCTACAGCTTGAACAAAATTTTAAGGAGGCATGTTTTCACTGTTGCCTTGTAAAGGCAATTTACAATCTGCTTTACTCTCCACCTCCTCAACGACAATTTTAAAACAAAGCAATCTTAATGTTTTAAAGACATGTAACAGAACAGAGCTTTATTTTCAAAAAACAAGAATAAAAAAAAAAATAGCAGCATCTTGGGCAGCTAATGCAATCTCATCAGGACAAGTGCAATGTAACCTTACCAACTCCTACAGTTTAGTCTCAGCTGCAGTGAACAGAACATGACTCTACATAAAATGTTGCACTTTGTAACCTTGTCCCATGGGAGGCATTATGCTTTGAGCTGCCCATTTCTAAAGTGACCCTGAAAAAAACCAGTATCAGGATTCACTTTCCCAACTTAATACCATGCATAGCAAAAGCACTGTGTGAAAATCGGCAGTTTTCCCCATTAGAAGCATCTGAATGTTTTCCCAAGCATTATTATTTCATTGCCAATTACAAGACAAAGCCATTTTTTCACTACAGAACAGTTGACACCAAATAGAAAATCTGAAGATTTGGTTTTACAGATTGCTTGACAAGATAACGGAACCATACAGACAAGCTTTTTTTTTTCTTTTTTTTTTTTAAAAGAAACTATCCAACAACACAGAAACTCAGTTTTCTAACTGTATCTGGAAACATGCTGCACCCACAAAGGTCTAGTGTGCATGTGTGTGTCTTTAAACAAAGTTAATGATATCGCTTACTAAATTCAGCAAAATGATCATGTTCTGTGAAAATGCATCTATATTGGGAACTGTTCATACATAAACACAGCAAGTGTGTAATGAGTATGCACAGATATGCATCCCCAACCTGCAAATTCATATTTCAGCTGAATTAAATCAGAAACTCTTAATTTTGCCTGTGAGTTTTGGTTCTCTTTGCAATGTCTCATGCCTTTCAAAGGCCTTGTGAAAGAGATGCTGCAGTGCAGCATAACTCAGGGACTTAAAATAAAACGAAAAGTTATGCAAATCAAAAAAAGAAAAAAAAAGTAACAGAGTTAAGCCCATCCATTGATTATATTCGATGAAAAAATCTTTGCATCAATAGAAATACAGAAAAACACTGTGTTTCTTTAGTTATATCCCCATGCTTTTTTTTTCTGTATATAGCAGTCTGAGATCAGATCAAAACTGGAGTGAACAATATGGTACATTAAAGACAAACAACTCTGCAGTGAATAGGGCCTTTGGCAGGACTTAGCTCTGTGCATTAAGGAGGGAGAGAAATGCAGAGGCCACACAATATGTAAGTACCAAAGAAAACCCACTCATGCCAATTTGAGGGTGTAAATGATCCCTGCAAATTGCACAGACCCTGTGTAGGCAGAACATCCCCTTAAGAAGCCCTAAGCATTCATCATTACAACATAGGGCTTATTTCTCATTGTTGCTTGTGCAAGAAAAGCAAGTGTCAAATCTGCACACACACTATTTTTTTTCTGCTACAGCCACACACAAAGAGAAGTTGCACAGCACACAGGAATGAATTATATTCCATACTGGGCTGGGCATGCTAAGGATATGGCCCACTGACATAGCAGGGGTTTTCTTAAAATGAGGAAAATTAGATCCAAATGCTTTAACTATGATAAAATTTCTTGACAAATGCTACGTGAAACATCAATTCAGATTACATATATTTCGCCTACAGAGAAAAAATACAATTTTACTCTTAAAATATTTAACATTCAGAAATTAATATACGTCCAAAGAATATCTTGGATTGCTATAAGCGTTAAACTGCTGTATATTGAACTAATCTGTAACTTCAAGCCCAGTAGTATAACTGGCATGCTAGAGTAATTGTTGGTGTTTTTTGTAGTATAAACCAGTTATTTGTATAACAGATTCACATGGTCCTACAGGCCTGAAAAAAGTGTGGAATGAGAAAGAGAAGGCATGAAGACTAAACTTCTATTCAGGAAAAATATTCAGAATAATTTTCTAAGTGATGACTATCGTGAAACAATATTTGTTGGGTCTTGTTTCCTGATACAAATAAGAAAATACAACTATAGGAAAGCTAAGACAACCCACCAAAAAAAATAGACTACAAAGTCAAAGCAAAATTAAAAATCTTACAGCCTCAGAACTGAAGTAACAATGTAAAAATGAAAGGATAATATAAAGATTAGTGGAGACTGGCGAATTTCTTCTTATTATTTCCAATAGCTTATAAAGCATTGTGTACTTTGAAATAAAACACAAGGATCTCTAACCAGAGCTATTATGAGAGAAATCCATGGGTCTCATTCTTTTGATTGTGTGTGCAACTCTCTTTAATAGTAATAGATCTTATCTTTTGCATCTTGGGGGAAGAATAATTCATATGTTCACTTAGTCAAATCTTCTCCAAGATTTCTCTGAATGTCATTACTTTATTGATTTGCAATGTGTAAATTTCCTCAGTGGTCAGGACAATAAATAACCATTGCAAACCATTGACAGTGAACTATCTCAGGATTGTGGGTAACTCTGTTTTAGTGAGATTTATGTATTTGTTTCCCTTAACTGAACCATGATTTTGTAAGTCTCTGGTGCCCTAAAATTATCGAAGTGTTCACTTTGATACTGCCTCAGCCTACAGACTTTTGAAAATACGTATCATAGCCTAATCATTTTAAAAAAAGATATTTTCCAGTCTTAATTAGTTCTATATTGTATCCAAATGTTCTCTGTAGAGGTGGAAGTTTTTTTTTTCCACAATACTAATACAAAAAACAAACCTAGGCAACGGATTGGAGAAACTTCCTTCATGTGAAATGAAAATACCTTTACAGGCTGACAAAAATTCTGTCACAGGAGGTCAAGAAGTCATTTATTTACTGTGAAGGTGGATTCATTCTGAGATCCAAACTATCTACACTCTACACTGCAGTAGCAAAATATCCCCATTTATTTCTGCAGTCACTATCAAAGAAGGATAGACTATTTTCCTTGTCTTCCATATACAAAGACAATCATGATAGAAGTCCAAAATGCTTCAAGAAGCAAATGTAGCATGGTACCGTATTCTAAAGATATCTCTGAAACAGTATTGTTGGACTCAGTGATATTTTGTAATGTTCATATAATTTTATTGAACTAAGCAGCTTTGAAGCTTATCAGGCACTGCCCAACAAAGTATTTAGTCAAAAAAAATTTATGAAGTCTTTCAACTTTGAGCTAGTAGCTCAATATTCTATACAATGAAAATTGTCAAATATTTCATAGTTTAAATTTTCAAGCCAACTCTTGCTGGCTCCCTGTACATTAAAACAAAACAAAACAAAGCAAAAGACAAAACAAAACAAAACAAACAAGAAAATTATTAACAAAAAGTAATCACCAGGAAGAATATCCTTAAGGAAAAGAAATTAAAAAAAGGAAGATGACAAAAAACCAAGAAAAACAAGCTTAATCTGTAGATATGCTTGAGAGAAGACTACAGCCTAAAGAAAATTCAGTATTGCATAGCATAGTCTAAAAATTCAGCTTTCAGCAAAGAGAAAAGGAAAAAATGAAGCAGTTTGGTATTGACAGTTTCCATCAATGACAGTTAGTCATCCAGTACTATGTACATTATTATACACTGTATGCCATTGAAAATCCTGTTTTCTTCAGTCTTAAATATATTCTAAAAACAGGATTTTTAATCATCTAAACAAAACACTTCCTGGCACTTTGCTATTACAATTACTCTGAGCAACATACTGTAACTGAAGTCCTTTTAAAGTGTCCCTTAGAAATGAAAGTGCCACTCTGCTACATATCATTCACTAGAAACCAAAATAGAACCACAATGCTGTATGTCTGGATCCACTGAGTGCAGCAACACCATTCCAAGTCAGATTATGACCACGAAATTCCAATAACTGAATGACACAAACCTCTTATACCTTGTGTCTGGATAATCCAATGTTCTAGCTGGTAAAGGTTCAGAAGTGGTCGTAAACAAGCACCATGCTTAAAGGCCTCTATGTCCCTGCAGGGAGATCAGGTTTGGATTTTTCTCTTGTGTTTTTCTTTTATAATTACAAAAAAAAAAAAAAGCACTTCAGATTACAAACATACATTTACAGCATAACACTGTGATCTCTCCCACTGCAGTTGTGAAGGAAATCTTAAGTTCCATCTGAAGACAAATAGCTTTGATACTACAAATTCTTGAGTAAAGCTGAAAGAAGCCTTTTCTCTCCAGAGGCCTCAACGTTGCCATATAATTTCTTTAAAAAAACCAACAAACAACCCAGAGTATCAGGATCTTCATCGCCTCTGCTGTGCATATACTGGGTAGGCTAGCGTGACATTGAGAGAGTCATTGTGCTGCACAAGTGATGTGTGTTGGTAATGTAGCACCAGTTCTTTGAGCGAGTTGTACAAGTTATATGGCTCTGCAAATCCATACCCAGTAGGTGTTTTGTTTATGACACAGTGCTTTACTTCACCATCCACCCTAAAAAAAAAAACAAAACAAAACCAAACAATTTTTAGTTTTTGAGTACAGTAAAATTAAGATAGAAAATAAGGTATTAGCAATACATCTTAAGATGCTAGTCAGTACATAGAATTCCTCTGTTTTGTGGTGGGATAATGGTAAAAACGTATGTTGAGTCCAAATTTGTGAATGTCATCCTAGCTTAGGGAGGAAGGAGATAGGCAGGACTTAGCGGCTGCACAGAAAGGAGAGCACACATATTTTGGTTCCCCCTCTGAGTGAGGCTCCTCTGTGGGAGTGGCATAGGTTGGAGCTGTGTAGGAAATGGAGCAGCAATAAGAATGGCCTCAGGAGTCCTTGAGCTGCTACTAAGCCAAAAGGTCCAAGAGGAATTGTGCATATGCAAGTGACTATCTGCCCCCAGCTGAAGGTAGCCCCTTGCATGTGGGTTATATCATTCACAAGTTAGGGTACATACACAACAGAGCAGGCATAGCAGCCTTGTTTGCTGCTCTCTCGAACAAGGAATGTTCCATCTCGTTTTCCCCGCAGCAGATTTTCAGCTTGGCTTCTATTGATATTTCCCACATTCCATGTTCTCTCGTCATGATGGGGCAAGTCCTCATCATCTTCTACCATAGAGTATTGGCTGTTGGAAAGAAAAAATCTGTTTGTGAAACACAGAACAAAATCCACTAATTAAGTAATCTTTATTCCATATTACAGTTGTTAGCAGGATGCCTCCTAGGTAAAACTGGGGATTTAAACTAAGTAATACTGCACCATTTAAACCACTGGATAAAAGTAAAATATAAGCTCTGTTTCTTGTTTCTTTGAAACGTAAATTTTAGGAAGAATATAAAAAGATGATGTGTTATTTTTCAGAATATGCTGTGAGCACTTTAGTACTTCTGCCATTGCTCACTGTTTTGGTAAATAGCAAGCCCAACAAAATCAGTACCCTCTGAGTCAGCTTCATTTCCAAAGATCAGAACACTTGGTCAGCAGTGAAAAATCATGCAATATATCAACTACAGCTGCTGCCTAGAGAACCTCTGAGCAGTTGCACAGGGAGGCATTAATTATTTATAGGGGAATGGCTTTGTGAAAAGGTGCAAGAAAGCAGTAGAATGCTTTCTCTCTCTCTCTCTCCCCTGCCCCCCCTGCCCCTTATAAGGAGATTGTGAAAATATCATTCAATACATGCTTCTCTACTAAATCAGCCACCAACTATAAAGCTGATTCAGAGTTAAGGAGAACCTTCTGAGCTAAAGCCACCATGAAAAAAGAAGCATCTGGTTCAGCTGTGTGGGTATCACCTTGGAATTCTGCAGTTCCAAAGCTCCCCAATCCCACAACAGTCTGCAGTGGCTGGCCCTGCCTCTCCTGTTCTGCTTGCAATAAGTCTGTGTTAGGCTAATGCATTTATTCTCTCTGTAATAGGCTTTTAATTAGTTTTCCTTGGTCTAAGAAAAGATAACTTCTCACTCATCCATGGTTCTGTTTTTCTGAAGATTCTCAAAGTAGTCTACAGAAACCAGTAATCACAGAATTCTATTTTTCCTAAAGAGAAAAGGTTCTTTTTGTTTCAGATAACACTATTTCCAGGTGCCTTATCCCATCACTCTTTTGACCTGCATGACATTCACATACATTCAGTAGTAGCTCTGTTTTCAACCAGCATCTAGAGAAAGCAATTCTTGTTTTCATCCTGCTTATTATATTGGGGAATTTTTTTCTGCAATAAACTTCAGAAGAAAAGCCATATTCTAAAAGTTTAATTTTTCAGCAGTTACCAGACTGGCCAGCAAGGGTATTAGAGTGAGAGAAAATTAAGATTTTCTTTAAACAGTTTGATTACTATTTTGATGCTACATTAAACCCACAGAGTGTTCTTTGTCTACTGTTTAAGTGATAGGAACACTAGTGGGAACAGGTGCCTACCTATTTTACAACATCTAATCTTTGCTAAGACTGAGAAACCAACATGGCTTTAAAATGTGTATGTCATTTTATCTCCTGCTACTACCACAGTGATAAGCACAATTTCCAGGATAACAGTAAGAATTTATTTATTAACAATAAACCAAGCCAAATGAAAATAGATATGGACAAGGCCAGAATGCGAGGCAGAATGCACTACAGTCATTGTCAGTCTGCTGCTTTCATATTATATTCAATCAGGCAACATAAAAGGGATGCATAAGAAACTACATAGGCGGAAAATGTTGATACAAATACTACTGAGACAATGTTGATTTTTCTATTTGTTCATTTTTCACTGTTACTGTGCTTCAGATATTATTTTGTGTCTTGCTTTTGTTTAAATTTGGCCTGTTTAAATGTTTACACAACCCATGCACTTTCTGCCTTTTTTTCCCAGGAATAAAATGAAATGTATTCATCAGCCTAGCTTCTGTCAGAACCTACAGTAAACTAAACTGAAATGACAGAATACTACCCTGCCATTTTCTAGGAAAACAAATCAGACCATAAAACTACAGGATATTCCTCAGCACATACAAATTTTTCATCTCCAATAGCAATGTGACACAATGATGTGGGTACCCTATACTGGACAACATCATGGGACCCACAGATGAGATTTGGAAAAAGCTTGCTTATGCCTAAGAGACTGTCTGAATAATTTATCCATCCATATGACATCTCTCTAAACTGCTAACACCTTATGAACTTAATTTTGCTGGTAAGATAAAAGACATAGGTTACATTTCATTGCTTTGCTACAGTAACTTGAATATGCACTTCGCTGAAAAAAGGATGAGGGTACAGGGTGAGACAGTATCCCTTCTAATTCTTGCATTATGTAGGCTGTCATGTCTTAATACTATGCATTGTTACTGAAGACCTAGGCTTGAGATTTACTCTTTCTGGTCCAAGACTTAAATATGCCTTATCTCACTTCTGTATTTAGGTGATTTGAAAAAACTAGAAATATCTAAATCTTTCAATACTTACTCTTCTGCATTTTCATTTCCAAGCCATTCATTTAGCTTCTTTTGCCGAACGCCTTTTTGAGTCAGCCACCTGGACAATAATTGCAAATGAAATTAATTTTTAGTCATAAAAGTTGGAAACCATTGAAAACCAAACAACTTAAAATTTTTTAATTCATGGTACTCACATCAAGTACTGATCTCTTGTCTTCCTCAGCTGTATGAGGTCTGGCTTAATGCTGTTCATACGCTTGTCTATCTCTCTATATTCAGCTGCTTGCTTTTTCAAATCTTCTTCTAATCTACGCCTGCTGTCCACAATTTCACTTATCCGAGACTTCAGTTTTTCATAGTTGTGCATGATTCTAGATGGAACAATGTGGCAGGTTACACTCTGATTTAATAACTTTGTAGTCTGCTATTTAGAGGTGTAGACACCTAAGAGAACAGATTCTTTCTCTAGATATAGTTATATATTTTGCCAGTTCACGTCTACCCTATTCGAGGCTTCTTTGCTTACAGCTGAACAATTTAAAACTTGCCATCTTGCTTCAATTTTAGGCAGACCTATACCTGGCATTGTTTTTTCAAAAATCATACAATTTGGTACTCAAAATCAAATACTGACCTTTGTATTTCTTTTTCATTTCCTTCTCGTTTAAATTTTTCAATGTATTCCTTACTGTATCTTTCCTGTGTTTGGCACTGCTCTTCAAATATTTTTATTGTTTCATTAAATGCCTCGATGGCTGTTCTTTTCATTTGAATTTCCTGAAAATAAAATAATTGTTATTGCAGTTGTTATCAGATAAAGGGGAAGAGTTATTGGCTTGTATCACAGAAACACTTCAGGATATTGTAGAAGAATTTCCTTTCAATATCCCTTTACCAAAATGTATTTTGTCTGCTGAGCCTCATGGCATAGAGACAACAGGCCTGTGCAAAAGGTTACCATGATAAGATTTCCATGATGAGGTTTATCAAGAAATAGAACTGCTAAAAAATGAATCACTTACAGTCTTTGCTTTGTATAAATAAATTGATGCTTAGAACCTTATGGCAGTGCACTTTGCCCTTAGTATGAACTCAAGTCGTTAGAGGCACACCTGGCTTTCTGAAATAAAGGTGGCCTTGAGAGGTCTCAGGAGGTTATCCGGTTTCCCTTCTGCCCCTACATACCTAGTTGGTAGCCAGGTTTTAAGTCATTAGTTCAAGTTGGCAGCAATTCTCCAATTTTCTTCAATTATCTTTAGGTGTATTTCCTGCACACTTTTAAGAAGCAGTCTTGATTCTGGGACTTTAAAACTGGACTTTCAGTGGCACTTCAAGGCATGGCTAATAATTGATTAAGCTGAAAGAGGCAGCTTTTCATTCCTGCATTTTTTCTACACATGTCATCTCTTTATCCTGTATAGGTAAACTAGACACTTCAAAAACTCAAAATAAAATGCAATGCTTCCCTGGAAATGTGCCTTGAAAACTGTAACTCAGCTTGATGAGGTCAGTATGCAGAAGTGGTGTAAATAAAGACAGTTATGTACTTGCTTTGGATGGAGATGTCAGACTTGGGCAGAGGGTGGCTTAGTTTACAGGTGGTGGCTGTTCAAACATGAGTAAGCAATTGCACTGTTCTGAGCAAGCACATCAGGGCAATGCCGTCGTGGTGGAAGAGAGGAGTAGGAAGATGACAATACAAATTCACAATAATATTCTTCAAAATCTGCAAAGTTTTCCATTCTCCCTTTGGTTCAAATCCAGCTTACCTGAGATGTTCTTGTGTAGTCTTCATAGAGTCTGTCATATTCTCTGCTTTTTTCTTGGAACTGGGTATTATATTCATGTAATTTCTTTCCTACTGCTTCAATGCTATCCTCTTTTACAACTTGATCCTGGAATGATGAGCAGAAATAAAGATATTCTGTAAGGAAACAATTATATTGCCCAGCTTTTCTGGATAAAACTGCTTAAAAATGCTTAGATAATTACATGGAAATGTGACTCCTCTTTCACCAATATGGAGATACACTAAATGCATAATATGCAAATGAGATATTATTATAAAAAGGAATTTTGCATTGCAAGTGTTTAGCTTTATACTGAAAATTACATCTTTCACCACTGAGTGGGATAATTATTAAGATGTTTATTTCCTAACAGTGTATCTGCGTTATTTAAACTTTTAAATATTTACATGCAAAGCATGGAGTTGATTTTAAACAAAAATATCAGGTTTTGTACCCACATGATTTTTTCGAACAGTAACAGAGCTGAAGTTCATGTTTGGCAAGTTTGGCAATAATTTCTCTGTTTTTTAGTGAAATGCAAATAAAATAAACTAAATTACCTGCTGGTACTTAGATACTGGATAGAGTAATTTTACATCCAGTTTAGGATTATACTGGGCTAGAGACTCATTCCGGTAGTGGTTTATTAGCTCGACCACAGAGTTGAACGTTAATGGGTCAGAAAAGCCGTATTTTCCATCTCGGTGAAAAATTTTGATTAATTTGTTATTTCCTCCTTTCCTGCAAATAAAGTATATTGAAAAGTTAGGCATGCTTCAAGTACTATTTCCTAAAGAATACTCTTCATTAAGAGCAGTTGTTGCATTTTACTATCAAGTATTACGGACCCAGTGTAACTAGTCTTACCTCAGTGTCAGTGTGTAGTCCCCATGCATTTTGGTTGAAGCATCTCGTACCAAAAAGGTACCATCAGCTGTGTCTCTAAGCTTCTCATTTACTTCTTCTCTAAAATGAAAGCAAAAGTAACCAATAATTTCAATCAGTTCTCACACACTTATTCTTCCACAGTGCTCTAAATTCAAAATCAAATGTTTTGAAGTAAGTGTGTTTTAGAAGCCTTCTATATCTCCATATTAATACATCACCTTATTTAACATTGTTAGAGAACAAGTGGGATAAAAAATGGCATACTCTGTGCTCTCACTACTGGACAAAATTATTATTCATACAAAGCTCTTTCTGCTTGTTCATACAAGCCTATGCAAGTGGAGCAGCCAGTGCTGGTCAAATATAGCTATATATAGTACAGATAAAAATGTTGCTAATATATGGCACTTGTTAGTCTGACTTGCTGACTATAGTGCCTACAGCTGAGGTTCTGAATGAAAGACAGGAACAAAATTCTTAGTGCTATCTTTTCATGCTAAACATTTCATGTAAGTCTTAAAGTAAGAGAACAATCATTTTGCATACTACATTCTTAGTGACTGCCAGTAACTTTTTAGTCATATTTGGAATAAAACCAACTGTAATATGTTTATGGTGGAAACTATTATAAAATTGCTCTTAAAACTGTGAATTTTCTATACTCAAAGCCTAATACATATACACAGAATAGCACAGCAAGAATAGCACAAAGCCAAACATAAGAAATACATGTCTTGAGGTGATTTACCTTGAGATATCCCCCCAGTACCATTCAGCGTCTTGTAATGACATGTTGTTATTCATGCTATTGTTAGTTACGGTATTAGGTTTCGGTGGCTTAGGAGGCAGTGCTGCAAATGAAAGGGGGGAAGAAAAGTTGTAACTCACTGAAAACATTACCATATATTCCTTGAAATTATACATTATTACATAAATTTTAAAATTCTATGAGTGCATTAAAAAAAAACAACTGGTTACCAAATAGAGCTGTCCATCATTAACAGAATTTAAAGACACTACAGGAATCAAGAAATTTTGAGACAAAATAATTAAAAAAAAAGTTTTACTGTTTCAAAAAATGATGCTATCTTGCAATAATATTTTAAGGAAAATATAACACCATACTCAACTCCTGCCCCTGTGAAGAAAGCATTTGAGAAAAAAAAAATCTGAAGTTTGTTTTTACCTTCTTTCACCATCTTTGGGTGAACACAAGTAATAAAACATGCCACTTTTTTTTTTATCCTTCTATGTAATGATCTTAGAGGAATGTTGCTATTTTCTTATCTAGAAGCTGAGTAATAAAAGATGCAAACCCATAGCAATACAATATATTTGAAGAAGAATCAGGGTTTTGAAATCCTCAGCATTCTGTGCAATGATTTTCAAGAAAACCAAAAAAACAAACCCAACAGTTTAAGAAACCCATCTGTGACCCCAATATCCGTTGTATTAATCTTAGTATCCCACAGAATAAATTGTGTTCCAAATGCCAGGACTGATTAAAAAAACACCCCCCCCCTTTTTTTTTCAATGTCAAAGCTGCATATGTATACCAGTGGGTGCCAGAGAAGATACTGCAGCACTGATTTAGTAACAAGGGGGACTACACTGGAATCAGGATTAAAAATCAACTCAGCTCTTTCAGTTCTCCAATAAGTACAACATTCCTGTCCTGTATATTATGACCAGGCTGAAAAGACAATGTTTTTAAAGTTGCAAGGAATATCAGGATAGCGTAATACTTTCATATGATATGAAAAAATGATGCTACAACAGGCATTCAATTAGTATTGCTAGATTTTAAAAATGTTTTTTCCTTAAACAATCCAAGCCAATGATTTGGAATTACTGTTTCAGGAAATATGAGTGTTACTACAGCATCTGCTTTTAGGCACAGTGTGGAACAGAGAGAGCAAAAACAGTAATAAAAGAAATACAATTTTTACATTCTAAAATAGCAGGACTAAAACTACATCTGACATAATAAAATCAAAACAGAAACAGGTCAATTCAGTAAAAATTCAATTAAGTAAGCAAGCAGGTATTTTAATATGTTAAGATTCTAATTACTACAACCATGCACTAATCCACAATTTTATTCTAATTTATGAAAAAAGGAAACCTATTTGTATCCATAACAAAGTAAAGAAATCCTATATATCCAGTAAGAATTTTTCAGCAGCTATTCTAAAGACAAAAATTAATTAAGTCTTCTATAATAAGACTGCAGTTTTACCTGGTGGATCCATTTCTATGTAAAACATCAAGTCTGTGCCACAATTTATATCTGTCTTAGGATATTCTATATCCAGTTCTTCCATATTCCAAACAGTGTTGTACATTTGTATGAGTTTCACTGAGTAAGCTCAGATACAAGAAAAGAGTCAGGCTGTCTTTGTAATGGTGTCTTGGAATTCATTTTAAAACCTATAAGGGGCTGCACTGTAACCTATTACATCATAATCCTCAGCCAATCATGTCAAAATAATGTCACCAAACCACTCCTGCTTTCTCATTTTTTTCTACATTAATCTTAAAACAATTTCAATTTTGGGAAGATTCTCTATTTAGCAGAATTGCAATATAAAGCTGGTATTACATGCAAAAGGAGCAAGTGGACTCTCCTTGCCCATATTCCTGGCTCATTTTCCTGACTTTGCAGCATGGTACAGTCCAATCTTGGCAGGATGACAAAAGGCTGATATGCTGCAGCACGTAGCTCTTAGACACAGGCGCAACAACACTCACACACAGGGCAGCTCCCTTCAGAAGCAGGTTGGTCACATCTCAGGTGCATTCTCCTGCTTAAATGCCTGAAGCTTGCCATTCAAAAATATTTAAAAGAATTCTATAACTACTGCACATGTTAGAGATGCATTAGAGAAGAGCATAACTCTGTGTGTATATCCATTACACACTCATTTTACACAAACACACAGAGAGATGTATATATCCACATAATGAGATATGGATTATGTTTTTAAACTCTCCATACTTCTACTATTTTTATGGGCACATAGGTCTGATAGAGTTTATATTATGATATAAATGTGCTTACGGCAGAGATGTTTTCCTCTCTTACTATTCAAATCAATCTATATTAATTAATTTTGAAATCCAAACCCCAAATATTGTAATCTTACATTCAGCTGATTCACTCAAACAATGGAAGAAAGTCGTAACTGAGCAAAATCTTCAAAAATGGTTTTGCTGAACATAAAAAAGCCTGTGAGGACAAAATAAGATTTAGTCTGCCTTTTCACACAGTTTCTCTGCCCTATTCTCATTGATATATTTATCAAGTTAATTGTTTTTAAAAGCAAGAGTCTCTTGTCAGTGTCTCCTTTGCCCCTTAACTTTATGTCAGCAGCATCCTCCAACCATTTAGAAATATTCTATCTTAAATCCCCTCATCCCTGACCATAACTCTCTCAGACCACTTGGAAGAAACATGGACAGAACAGACTATTAACTTCAGCATATTACTATGCTATGTAAAGCAATATACTCGCTATAATCTATAGGAGGAGAAAACCAGAGACCAAAAATAACTACAACGAAAACTAGCTGTAGCAACTATCTGTGCCTTACACATTAAGAAATTGTGGAACAGCTGAACTGTGCTCTATCTCACATTTAAAAAAAATTAGCACAATTTATATAATTTCCAGATATTTCACCCCTGCCCCCCGCCCCCCCTCACCCCCCCACTGTCTGTGCCCGTGAGCAGGTTACCCCTTTCAGACAAGCATTAACATACAAGAGCATGTCTGGAGTACAAACATATACAAAAAGATTCAAGCTAGTTTGCTTTGTACATAAAGAAGCCTCATTTTGAAGTAGACTCTTCCCTTCCTGTTGAGGTAAATAAGCTCCAAAGATTCTTTCAATTTCCAAAATGAGAATCACCCCAGACATAAGTCTAAATGCTAAACTTTGGGGTTTAACCCACCTGCTACCCAAACAATTAACTTGCCAAGGTAATTATTTAAATTAACTTAGAAAGATTTCCTACAAAAACTGAATTGTTGTTTTTAGGTCTCATATGGAACCAGTAATTTTTTTTATTCCATTGAATAAAGACTTTCAGGAAAAATTACTTCCCTAGAATTTCACTGGTGGCCAAATCTAGGACTGAACAAACTTGTATAATCAGGTTAGTGTTCAGTTCAGACTAGCCTAGCCTGCAGGCAAGAAAAGACAGAGGAGGCAGATAGGCTTTATCCATTTCATATATAAGCTGGAGAGGTACTGAAGTACTAGACTTGAATTCATGTATCTCTAAAACTTTTAAAGCTCTACCTGGTAATCAGTTGCAGTATAATACTTCCACAAGATGATGAAAAAACCACAGAAATTCAAAATCACTTACTTTGTAAATTATGCATCGCAAGTGATCGCTCTTGTAAAACAGTCGAAAATACAATCCAATATTGGTTTCCTCTTATAAAAATCTTGCTTAAAAATAAACCCTAAAATCTCCATTTACTAGGAAGCTTCTCTGAAGCAATGAAGAAAAAGCAATTGCTCTGCTTTCCAACCAACGTTCCATAAAACCCCCTAGTAGAGTTGTAATTGGAACTGAGAAAATCCAAGCCTTCTCTCTCAACTGCTTAAACCTCTGTGCTGTGCAGAAGGTATCCACTTACTCTGGTTCATCATTAAAAAGTGAACCTGACTTCAGTACTGTGAAAGAAAAAAAAGAAACCACCACCCTCAGTAGCTTGCACGTCCCTCTCAGATAAAGATCTCAGTTTCATGATTAACTTGGGTAGGTTCAAATATTTGCTGAGCCAGGAATTTCAGCTGGGGGATGGGAGCCAGATTCAAAGTAAAAGTTGTCATCAACTAACAAGTGGCCAATGGAGAGCTAACTTTCTCATTTTAGCTAAGTAAATGAGAAGACCATTGTAAGAAGCCTTAAAATAGTCCCTATCACTGGCTGCTGCATGCAGCATTGAAGATGAGAAAAGCACCATGAACAGCCAAATACAGGAAGTGGCTAACTGCAGAAAAAAATAGAATAAAAATTTTCCTTGAAAAGAGGTGCATCTGTAGAAGCAGCCTTGTGCAAGCAAAATAGCCTGCTTGCAAGCACAGCATCACCTTGTACATACTCATGCTGGGTCACAAATACAGGTGCTGCTTCAAGACCCTTAGTCTGAGGCTGTGAGACTGTTTATCAATTTCCTATAAAATAAAAATATTAAAAAAAAAATCTGTCTGTATCCTTGGTGGTTTCCAGTACATCCGGATAGTTCATTTCTTGGGCAGGCAGGTGGGAAAAGGAATGGTACAAAAAGGGAGGAGCTTAGGTTAAATCTGTTTTCCTTGCCTTAGTGTTTGGTGGAGATCAAAATTGCTAAAGGAACAGAGCAGCAACTGAAGAGCCCACAGAGGTTATCTTCTTTGCCAGTTAAACTTCCAAAAGGAAATAAATTCAAAGTAAAAGGAGAAGCAGACACATTAAGAAAAGGGGAAGAGAGGACTAATATTTTCCTGTCACTTCTTGCAAACAGTGAGAACTTCTAATAAAAACACTGAGAATTTCTTTGAGATCTGCTTGTTGCTCCTCAGGGCAGTCAAATAGTATCGAAAAGTTTTGCCTTCATACTACACATACCAAAATCCTCCTACACTATGAAACACCACTTGTACCTAATAATGAAATCCCAAATACCTGCAGTACATTTATGTTTTGCACTTGATTGATTAGCTTCACCTATAACAATCCCTTGCTTCCCTAGTTTTAGCCTCTGCCTACTCAAACAATTGTCAGTTCTAAATATAATTTAAATCTGCAGAGTCATAAAGGTACAGCCTACTTCAAGTGGAGATGGAAACCTGTGTTTCTGAACTAATTTAGATTCAGACTGTACTTGATATACTTCTTTACTGCTAAAATTACAGAAGGATTTGAGAACATTTCTTGGTTTTTAGGACCACAATACAGATGTATATAGTCAGAAGAGAAAAGACAATGCAAACTTGGTTCACTTTTTATCAACTAAAAAAGCACAGATACCCACACAGAGATAATGAGTTCCTCACGATCCTGCAGGAGAGATACAAGTGTCTTGTCAAAAAGAGATACTAACATGCCCACACCTGTATTTTCCTTGATATATTGCCAAATCTTTTCTTTTTATCTAAATTTCAAAATCTTGAGTGGTGCCCATTTAATTTGCAGCCTACTATTCCTTGCAGTCATATTCATAGTGTTCTTTTATTAACACAGCACATTTTTTTTCTAAAATGTTATGTCTGAAGCAGGAAAAGAACTAAGCAGTTTTGACATGCTTCCACATGTTTTACACACACATACCTGCACAAGGACATAACAATCTGTAAAAATGCTAATAATGTTGTACGTATTGTTTCACTTTTATAAAATTCTTGCAATTAGTTATTGAGAAACATAAAGCACTGGCTTGTGTGAAACCTTAAAGCAAGGATACGGCATTCCAAAGTACGGTGGTTAGCCAAGCGCTGTGGTTTCCGTTAGGTCGGGGATACAGCCTGGCTTTTATTAGCTTAGAAGGGGAGCCCTCTGCTGGGTAGGACACGGACGCACACGGTCCCCCCGGCCGCCGTGGGCACCGCGTCCGCTCTCCCGGGCACTCGCAGCCTTCTGCCCGCTCCAAACCCTGCTCGGCGCTGCTGGCAGTCCAGCCAAGACTCTGACATGATGCAGATAAGTTCTGACAACTGATAGCATTCCTACACATTTGTTTATGTCCCCAGGACATTACTGACACGACTGTGGTTTTAGGCTAATGCCTGTATCAACAGGCATTGTACCTTTGAGGAGGAATCAAATTCCAGGAGGCACTGGATCAGCCTTTACCTTGCCCTGCTCTAGCTATTATGCCACCACTCTTGTGAATATTTTTTGTAGCCGAAAGCAAAGTTTCTGCACCTTGGTGATGCTACCATGACTTTCACCTCAGCCCCAACAAGTGAGCAGTTACATGTAAGGCAGCCTTATTACCTCACTCATTATTGCGTATGATGCTCTGAGTAATAAAAACTGCTTCTTCAGGCTGCAGTATTTCAGTCTGAGCTGTTATTTACAATGTAACATACAAGCCTGGGAAACAGGAATAAACTGGGATAGACAGCCCAGACAAAGCAGCTCAGCTCTAGTCAGTGCACAGGCTGTTGGAGGCTTTGATTCATTGATACAAGGCAGCTCTTTGCTGTAGCTCCTCTTCTGCTCTTCACCAGCAGTGCTACAAGCTCCCCACATCCCCTTGCTCTCTCGCCACATCCCACTTCCTCTTTGCCTTCCTTAAACAGACATTATTCTCACACACTCCAGCTCCAGAAAGGACTCCTATCTCCCTAAACTCCCCACCAAAAATTACTTCCAACTTTCTCTGTGGGGCCTGCTTTCACAGCTACAAGTGTTAAACAGACCCTGTTGCTCTGAGCACTTACTACACCTACTATGGGCAGCTTTGGGATCTTCATCCAGGGCAAGCCACCTCCAGGAAGAAAAACCAGGAGCCTCTAAGATCCTTGACAATTAACTGAAAAACTACACCAGTCTTCCATACCTACAAATATACCTAATATAGCCTATTTTCCACTATTTACCTTCACAAGTCTGTATGATGTGTGAGATTCTGTGAGACCTGAGCAGCACTATTTGCTAAAATATATGTTACAATTAAGATATTTTCTTCTAATAGTACTGTTTTGGATAGCACACTTAGAGGCTTGTACTTTGTTTCTCACTGTGCTCTTTAAAGTCTGTGCAGCTGTACATCAAGCTGGGATGTTCAGATAGGTTACAAAAATCACCTGCCTTGCCCACCAACACCATCTTTTGTCTTTCCTACGAACAAACTTGAAGAATGAGACAAGAACCAGAAAAATGATCTAATTTTTTCCAGCCTCATTTCTCCTGCAACATTACTTTGTCTTCATCTGCTACACAAAAATCTACAATTCATTAATAAGTATTGTTAACTTCAGTTATTTTTGTAGGACTAAGCACTATTTTAATCCGCAAACTAGAATCTATAGTTTGCTGATGAACACCATGACAGAAAAAGTACCCCAATCCATATGTTCTGCGGTAAGTCAAGTAATGGTCTAGGAGTAACAATTTTATTCATGTTATGACATCCAAGAAGCACCCCTCTAGCTAAAAGATGTCCAATTGAAGATGCCTAATTTAAGATACAAATTTTAAAATACAGTAAGATGTAACATCCCGCTGCTTACTTTCTAGAGTTTTCAGGTAACAAGTATAATTAGTGGGTGATGTAGTAAGGAAAAAACACACAGCTGTGCAACGATCTGCCTGCTATTCAGATTGGTTATCTCTTAACACCACATTTAATGTATTTATATACTGCATAAGATACCACTAGAACTTCATGCACAGCTTGTTTTAGACAGAATGTTCTCATCTTAACAAAAAGAATTAAGAAGGAAGGAAGCCATCACTCCAGCCTGTGAAGAGAAGAAACCTGGCAGCACTAGCTTCCCTGTTATCACTTAGTTGTCATGATGTTATTTTCAATAAGTAAACTTCTTTCTGCTTAAGACCTCTCAAATTCTCCACTTGTAAAGTTCTATTTAAGATTGTAATTCTCAAGATACTTACATGATAAAAAAGGTATATTTTATTGGGATTTTCTTTTTATTAGAGTCTATCTAAACAGTCTTTATGGAAAATCAAGCCACTAAAAGCAGTAATCTTAAAGATGACAATTCTGAAAAACAGATCTTAGAGTGCTTTTTATAGTTCTATGAGAACAATAAAAATAGACCACTCCAGATGTTCAGGTTACTGAATGATACTGGTGTGGAAATGGACTCATGACCTAATCCTGCAAACTTACAGAACATATTAGTAAGATTCAACTTTGGGAAATTAGTCAAACTCATTACATGCCTGAGGGCAGAGACTAGCTAACCAGACACTACAAAGCCTGAAAATTTCTATCTGAGGTTTTTTTCCAGCATATTTGTGCATGTGTTCTACTAAATGTTCTACTAAAAAGCATTCTACTAGACATGATGGACTTAAATGCACAGGGAAGGAGTTCTATTTTTGAACAGATCACATGAAAAATCCTAGGACTGTAAAAGTAAACTATTGCATCATGCTATATTAGTAAGTAAGAAGTAATATTAAAAACAATCAGGTCTTCCATTATAATTATTAATGTAGTGTCAAATCATATAAATCTGGTGGATACAATGGCATTTCTTCAAGCACTCTAATGACACTCTCAAAATGACTAGATTCCTTGTTCTCATTAGTAGTTCTAACATCAACACCTTTCACTTTTATACTTTCCTCACATGAAGCAGATAAGCAACAAAGTGATCTCTTAAATGAAACTTATAACCTCCCAACCAGCTTCGAGACATATATATTTACATACTCCAAAGCATTTGCAAACATGTAACTACAAAAAATGCCATTAGCATCAGACTATTAGAATCTGTTTTGCTTTTTAGGTCTTGCATCATGTGACAAAGACAATAATTCTTTAACAATTAGCAGCTATTTGCTGATTCTTAGTAAAACAGCACAAATACTGTAAGTCTGGACTCTCCTAGCTGTTACAAAGCATTAGGCAGAAAAATACACAGCGGTTCTGGAAATCTCTGTTAACTACTTCACCAAAATTGAACAAAACCAAATAGCAAGCTGAAAACAGATGTACACAAAATATTAGGGAAAGTTTCCTAACTAACAGAACTGGCAAGATTAGAAAAGCCTTTCAAACACAGTATTAGGAACAAAAATTTTAGCCATTTTAAATTAATCTTCATTAGCTGATGAAGAGGATTATACAATGTGCCTGCCTGAAATACAGGAAATAAAGCACTTCTCTGCTGTGTTCTAGCTCTTCAGAACTTAAGTAACCCTAGAAATCCTACTGCCATGAACTTTATTTTGTCCTTTGACCACAGAGGTGGGAAAGGTATAGGCTGTCCAATGTTCTATTCACACTTTCCTTTGTTAGATTATTCTCTGTTAATAAGATGTGAAAGGAATTGCTTTCAGCCAATATGTAAAGTTGTCTGCATTAATAATTCCCTTTACACATAGTTAGTAACTCTGCCTTGCTTCTACTGAATACTTGATTCAAACCCAGGGATTTTGCATAAATTACAGGTGTGTTTACTATTTGTTGACTGAATTAGATGTTAACTAACAGAAGCAATACAAGTAGGAACTAACTTTCCTGGATGGGCTCTTAATATTTTTACATTATTTATTGATATTAATAAATAAATATTTTGTTTTTCTGGATTAAAAAATATGTATGTAAATATGTATGTAAATAATGTCTCCATAGAGTATAGCAAATTTAAGAAAATTTGCCTGGGAGTAAATTGAGAGCTCAATAAAATCCCAAGAATTAGCCCCCCCACCACTGTATGACATGCATTGTACTTGTTTACAGGTCTTAAAAAACTCACAAAATCCAATTTGCTGTTTACTGAAAGAGAACAAAAGTCCTAAGGCTGTACAAACTATTGGCACTAAAATGATTTTAACGAAAAATGTTTTATTTCTTATAAAACAAACATTGAACACCACTATAAAAGACACAACTTCTGCTTAGCTCTGTAATTGTGCACTTCTGTTTTGCATGAAGTTTGATTTAAATAGAAGAAACTGCAAGCATTTACAGTCATTAAGTTGAATTTTAATATTTAAGAGAACATATAACTTTTAAAATTAAAAATATTTTTTACCTGGTACGGGCTGTCTCTCGTTCCATTCACTTGTGATTAAAACCTCTAGGATTTTTATGTGGTGTTCTGTATTATCAGAGCTGTAAGAGATGGATTAGGCAGTAAGAACTAGGAGAAATAGAAAAGTTTACTTTAAATTATTAAAACAAAATAGAAAAAAATTACTACAATGCCCTCACACCAGAAATAAGGTCAGAAAATTATTTAATTAATCTTATTTTGTATATAACTAATTCATATTTACAGTACAAAATATGGTAAAGATGATCCACGTACCTTGCTATCTGGAATCTGAAGAGCAGAGGGCTGAAAATTTCAGCCAGAGACCTTGCATTCAAAAGATTTTTGCTGGAGGCTTGACAAACTCTGAGGAAATGTTTGAGCAAATACTGGAGTGTGAGCCAATACTGAGGAGGTATATTTGGAGATCTGATCAGTTTCTTCAGCAACTGAGCATATTCCTCTGAGCTTTGCACTTCTGCAAGCAAACAGATAAATGGTTCTTGAAACCAGCACAGAAACATTCAAGTAAAATGAAACTATATGTGGCTCCTTTAGAGACACCAATTTTACAGAGAAAAAAAAAAATCTGTCCTTCATTAGAACCAAAAGATATCTTTCTTCTTTTAAAATAAGAGAAACACTCAGGGAAGAGTAAAGAACAAGTATTTAAAAGTCAAATGGAAACAGATACGCATTTTGGTAAAAACCACAATGTGTTCAGAGTGTACTGGTAGAAGTCTGTCTTGTGTTTAGCGTCACACATGATTGGGTAATTTTGAGATGCAGTAGATAAGTCTCACAGGTGCTGTTCTAACTTTGAAGGTTACCAGTAACAATATCCTTTCCTGAGATATATAACAGAATACTTGGCCCATGTGCTGAAAGCTTATAAGCTGTACTTGTTTGAAATGACCACTGTAGATGATGAATCTCACATGCATGTATTTCTCACTTCATAATCTGCAACCCCAATGTAACACAGCACTACATGACCTCTAATACATTTACTTTGTCAGCACTGATAAAAAGTTAAAAATTAGCTTTCTGTATACAGTCCTTGATTTTTTCCCCCAGTTCTTCTATAGTGTTTCTACTTACTAAAATGAAGAGAACTGTGTTATCCCTTATATTTTACATTATGTTTGCCTAAGTAAGTAACCAAATAATGCAGAATAATGTCTAGATCTAAACTGAAACAGTTTTCATAGAAAAGGGTAAAGGTATATTTATAGCTTCTGAGATGCTGCCAGGTTGTGTAGAATTTTTGCTGTTCTGTAACAGCTGAACCACCAGTTATCCAGAATTCTAATAAAAGCCTTTTTGTTTGATATTTGAAATAATGTCATAATCATACCTTGAGATACAGAAATCATGTCACTGTAAACAGCTGCTGGAATGATGGGATTTGGCAGGTCCAGGATATACCTCTTGAGAGCATCTGATAAAGCGTGAACATCAAATGTCTCTAAATCTAATGAAGAGGCATCTAAAGGGAAAGAGCAACATGCTTTTTAGACTTCAGAAAGTGGAAAAAATATACAAGCTCATAACAAGCCAAAATTGCTAACTTACATCTGGTTCATGGGGAACAATTCATAAGAACGTAAGGCACCAAGAAATGTCTTTGAGAAGAACAACACACAGAGTTCAACACCATGCCCAGTCCCTTGGCATCTGATGAACCAAATGGTTTCCATAACTGTGTGTGGCCTTCTTTCTCATACAATTCAGGGCTGAACTCAGAGCAATGGTAGTGACTTGCTGCATCTTGGCAATGTTATGGAACATCAGAATATTTTTAACAGGTCTCTGTTTTATGTGTAAATATTTTGTGTAAGTAGTAAGTACTAATCAAAGGTTTGGCCAAGTGCAGCTTCTCTACAGGGAGCTACTTCTATTATGACTAAAAGTTTGATTAACATCTTGGGGATCCAAGTCTGCAAATATTTATGTAAGTAAGTCGAAACAAATATACACGTGCAGAACAGTGTGCTTGGTGTTTTATGCAGCTGTTGAGATTTATCTTGTAAAACCTGATACCCTTCCAGGATAGTAATGACTTGGGATAAGGTTTGGCAGTGTCACATAAAGGACTACTTGTTAGTGTTGGAGCGAAGAATATCAGCAGCAAAAATTAAAATGGGAAAATACAAAATATCCTTATTTAGTGAAAGCAAGGTTAGGGTTCATCCTATAACATGAAACTCTGGCACAGTAAAGTCCTCAGTGTATACAAAAAGATCCTTATTTTGTACAAGAATTTGGAGGCATTAATGCTGATCAGCCTTCTATCTAGCAAGATTCTTGGTAAAATAACTATTGAATCTGTTTGTCTGCTTTAAACAAAGGGAACAGGGAGGTAGAGGACTCAAATAAATGGTGTGTCTACCAATACTGTGAAATAAGGCAGCCAAGAGGGGGTAGTGAGAAACTTAGTGCTCCTCCATCTCCTTTGTTTTCCTCAACAAAGAGCTTGCAGTATGAGCTCAAACCTTCTCAGACACCAAAGAATTGCATGAGAGAAATGGCATAATAAATGTCTTAAATGATATAAAACTTGCAGTGTGGGAATGATTTCTGCAAGAGCAATTATGTGTCAGAGAATCCACAAATTTTTAAAGAAATAGCTTTCATTACTTTTGCTGCTTACGGACTGTTTTTTATTTCATGAGCCAAGTTAAATCATGCATTTTCAGTGTTGACCATTTCTCTGAAGTATGTCCCAAATTACTATAATGAATACATGAGTAAGAATATACTTATTCTACAACTCTCTGGGTGTAATATCATAAACAGACCTGGACTCTTCCATCTGCTAAGCTGACAAGATGTAAATCAGCTTTGATTTTGGAGCTAGATAGTATTGTGTTGATGCTAACAGACAGTTATCCAATTAAAAAATGGAGAGTATTTTAACCACTAGCAGAACAGCACATTAATGCAAGTTCCCAACTTTGAGACCAAAGCTGACTTTGCTCTCTGAATTAGCCTTCTGCTAATTCAAAGCCAGCAGGCAGAGGAAATAGATCTGCCTCTATCCCTGTACCTGGATACTCACTGCACCAGCTCTGAGCTGAAGATCCTAATCCTATTTTAAAGAGAAGTCAGAAAGAGACACTTTTACTAAAGGGAAAAATTCTGTTTCTGCTACTCAAAACAACATTTTAAGTAGGAATACATGTAAACCATGAGTTTTTAATCTCAAGGGGCAGATAAACCTTTCAAAAATTATAGCTCATTTTAGAGACTTAAGAAAGGATTCAGATAAATAAAGAAATGTAATCATATTGGTGCCACCAAAAATCTGGATTTATGCAGACTGAAAAATATAAACACAACACTGAAGAGGTTGCTGCTATCATGAGGCTGCTAGCACCACATGCCATTCTTCTCTCCCTGCTTGTACACATACAATTCTTCATTCCTACCACAACCAGCATAGGATATGATGCTTTTTTGTTTTGAAAAAACAGACAACTCAGAGTATAATCTCTTATTCGCTTTGTAATGTTCACAATTATTCAAAATGAGGAGACTAAATCACTGAGTGATTTGCTTTTTTTGTCCCTTTGGCAACAAGGCATGTAACCATTTCTATTTTCTACCCCTTGTATTTTTGCACTCTTTTAGGCAAATGAAAGCTCACACCACACATTGCACTCCAGCTTGCCAAGTCATGGTCAAACTCTCCTCCTACTCTCATACTGAAACAGTGCTGCCATGCCAGTATATTCTGTCCTGAAGAAGAAATTAAGTATACCAAAAAAAGAAGAGGAAATATATTTCAGGAAACTTGAGTGGGTATGTGGTGTAGTTGCATTTTACTGTCTGAGAACTCAGCCTACAATATTAATTCAATTGTCTTTCTTCAGTGTCCCTCTGTAGCAGGTAGATAATGGGCTGCTATCGACACCCCACCTACTGGACAAAAAAAATGCACCACAGAACTGTACGTAAACGACTGGCCATTTGTTTACAAAATAATAACTTGCAGCCTTTCAGGACTAATCTATCTTTACCTCGATTCTGAACAAAACATCTTGTTTTTCTCAGTACAGCAAACTGTCAGTCTTTGAACAAATGAGACAACAAGAGATTAAAATAAATACTCTTAGAAAAAAAAGGTGCAGCTGAGCCATGAAAAAAGACAACTTGTAAAAGTGAAAAATACTTTTCATATCAAGGGTAGAAGTTAGAAAACTTTTTTATTTATATATGTCTTTTTCATAGTATGTTATTGAGAACCAGCACATATGAGTGAGAGTGGTCTGACCACAAATCTGTCTAGTGCTTTAAGGAAGAGAACTGTACTTACCACACTCAAAAATTTGTCTTAATTCCACTGCACTGCTTGAGCCTTGTGCTCCATACAAAGTTGAGTACTCCAGACCTTCAAAACAAAATTGATAGGACACATTCAGGATAGCATTAATATTTTGGTGACTGTTGCCCTGATGCAACATATTTCTGATTTGTTCAGTAAGTACTAACAGTATAAACTAGCAACATTTTTTTGCCTACCACACTACAGAATGTGATTGCTTTTTTAAGGCTGTAAGACACCTCTTTGTGCACTCAAGCTGCTGTGTCTGCAGAAAGAGATGGCCAAAGAAGATCAGAGATGCTGGCATCATATTCTGTAGAACTGTCCACTGGCCAACTATAAAAGGCCAGGACTAGGAAACAGATTCACACCAGTATCAGAGAAAGTATCTGTATATATCACATAATGTGATACAATAATTCACCTAAATTGTTAGAGAAGACATCAGTAAAGTGTTCTCACATGAAAGATATTGTTTACAACTTTCCTACATTAGTGAAAATAGAGAAGACAAAAGGAAAGAGACCATATGCAGGGATGCAGAGCTCCGACAATTTAACACTATCAGTGGTGTCTCCTGAAAGCAGCAGCTCCTTATGCACGCTTGTGCTAAATACTGGCCCTCCACGCTGATATCAGCAAGCTTCTACTCTTTCAGGAAAGGCTTACACTCTTTTAAAGTGCCAGAGAAGTATGTTAGAACCCATGACCCCAAGGACAGCAGCCTGATTCCCGTCAGAATACCACTTCTGCTCTTGTTCCCCAGGTTAAGGCCCCTAAATGAGCACGATTCACAGAACTGCTCCTTACCTCACCAGCACTATGAAAGACACATCAGAGGAGGTGCCAGAAAGATATAAATAGGGCAAAAAAGTATGGCATTGTAAAAGAAAGAGGAAAGCTTCAAAAGGATGAAGAGATATCAACACAGGAAAGCAGATGAGGAAAAGAAACCATAAAAATAACACTGTCTGGTTCATTACAGAGCAGCAATAAAGAATTGGCTCCTGAAGAATAAAACCAGTTCTTGAAACCTTTTCATATTTTATTATTTTCTTTTTTCCCCTGCTTTGGGGCAAAACATTACTTTTTTCCCTGTGCCACCAACTCAATGTTATGCTGGCATTTACATAACCAACTAAAGGTGCTTACTCGTTAGAAAAGAAACCCAAACAATACCAAACCCTTCTCCCTTACTTTCCAATAGTACTTATATTAATTATTAAATGCCATTTGAGGTAAGCTTTGGTTTTGCTCCAACAGTCCAAATAGCCTCTAATGACCAAAAATCTTAACAAACCTTAAGGAGATTATTTTGGGTGTTAAGTAATGTGATTACTTTACATTATCAGTTCTAGAAAGAGGACATGCCAGCTCTGGATCCAGTTCTGCAGTCTTGCTTCACATAAGCAACAGAACACTTTGGTAGATCACTCTTCAGCCTACCTTTCTTTTCAATTGTCTCTACTATCTTGACAAGAATTGGTGGAGCAACATCAGGAGGTGTGAACTGCTCTGTAAGGTCTGGAAGTGAAAAAGCTGTAAAAATAAAAAGAAACATAAGCCAAGCTGCAGATGAATGCAATTTTATGAAAATCATGACATGTAATGCAACTAGTTAATTTTTAATCACAGAACAAACATCTCGGTTGTCAGTGCTGTATGAGAAAACAAACTCCATAGTTAATCAAAAAATTGAATAAAAATTATGACAATTGCATTTTTTATAGCATTTTCTTTCAGGGACCTCAGTCCTAGATTCACGCCCCATATTGTCTAGGAAAAGAAAACACAATAGAAGTTTGCAGTCTATGGATGTGCAGAAATACAATGCAAGTAAGGAAAGAAAAAGTCTTTCTGTCTGAGATATTCCAAAACACTGTGCACCAAGTGAAGGAGCTATTAAACACATAACTGGCTGTGAGTGCCTGATCCCCTCAGTAAAACAGACTTTAAAAGGCCTGAAACAGCAGTAGAAACAAGTATTTCACACTCATACACGAGCTTAGTAACTTCTGTGCATTTCAATTTTCAAGCATTATACTATTAACAGTAAAGTTTACTTGAAGCATGAATTTTCTTTTTTACATGGACTGGTTAGGAATAATTAGCAGTATAATTGGAAAGGGACACTTTGCAGATTCAAACAAAACTGCACACAGGTTTTATACAAAGTCAGCTTTCACGCAATCTGGTGTCTTAATGGAGAGAACACACTCTTAAAGGTATGTACTGGCTCTGTGAGGAAAGATCTATCTCTAAATACACCATTTTCCCCAAAAGAATAATTCAAAAGTTTTAGAGTGATCCTGTTTAGCACTTGGAAACAAAAATGTTTACATAAACTACTGCCAGAACCATCTGGCATAGTTTGATGGATTATGATTGATAGGCAAAAAATTAATCATTGAAGCAAAAATTGTCATTTGCCTAAGCAATGGTGATCTCTACTCAATTAAACTCACCATGGACAGAGAGCAATTCTTGAACACACATATACAAAGGTGCCTGTAAGGATATGCATAAATACATATATGCACACCCTCCATCCCTATTTTCAGAAGACTGAAACAAAATTATGATGATAACTAAGTAGAAGGAGAAAAAAACCCACAGAAAATTATGAACAGAGAGTTTTTAACTAAAAACTTCGAGATAACAACAACAAAAAAATCAACTGAGAAATAATATAGATCAACTGAGAAAGAGAGAGCAGACAGTTTTGGCTGGTAATTCACCCTGTTTTGAATTACATAACTTCATTAAAATGCAAACAATTTTGCTGTGGTTTAACCCCAGCCAGCAACCAAGTCCCACACAACTTCTCAGGCACTCTCCTCTGGTGGGATAGGGGTGAGAGTCAGAAGGGTAAAAGTGAGAAAATTAGCAGACTGAGGTTTAGATAGTTTAATAGAGAAAGCAAAAGCCACATACAAAAGCAAATCGAGCAAATCAAGGTATTAATTCATCCCATTGGCATGCAGATGTTCAGCCATCTCCAGGAGAGCAAGGTTTCATCACTGGGTAATGGCTACTTGGGAAGGCAAACACCATCACTTTGTGCATCTCCCACTTTCTTATTCTTCCCTCAGATTTACTGCTGAGCACAGTGCTCTGTGGCATGGAATGTCTCTGTGTCAGTTGTGGGCAGGTGTCCTGGCACTGTCCCTTCTCAACTTCTTGTGCACTCCCTGCCTCCTCACTTGTGAGGTGGGGTCTGAAGCAGAAAAGGCCTTCACACCGTATAAACCCCACTCAGCAATAATTAAAATATCCCTGTGCTATTAGCACTGTTTCCAGTGTGAATCTGAAATGCAGCCCAAGGATAGTTACTATTAAGAAAATTACTTCTACCCCAGTCAAAACCAGCACAAATTTAAAAAACAGCAGGACAGCAAGGAAGGGACAGAAGTTTGGAAGTGTAGAGAGATGAGGAGTGAAATGAAAGACAATAGTAGTAATAGAAGTGAAGCATACTGGCAAAAAGAAGGAAAATTATGGTACCATAATGATGGAAATACTTTCCTAACCCATTCATAAATGAGGGTATTAGAAAAACATCTGTTAGTTGTAACAGTTTAACTTAGGAGGCCTGGAAGATAACCATTCAGGAGTTTAGAAAGAGTTGCCTATGCAGATCTCTGCCCTGCTGACGCTTTTTAATGACTTGAGGAAAATAAGAACAACTCCCACAGATCCAAAGAGCTCTAACACCTGATACCATACTCTGCAAGGACAAGTAACATGCCTACATGCTATTGTCATTATAGGTCCTGGACAAAATAAAGAAAAACCTAAAACTAGGCTCATATAATGCAACAAAAGACAGCAGACAGCTCTGTAATGAAGGATCATCTGCACAGTTTTTTAGAAGATAGGTTCTTTCCTTAGCGGCACCTTTGTGAGCTGAAAAAGGCCAATGAGTAGACACAATAAACTCCAAAATTCTGCCAGATAGTTGATTTAGTATAACACTCCAATTAAGCTAAATTCAATGCAGCATGTTATACAGGTACATTAAGGTAGAACAAGCTACTCAGGGAGCAAATGGACTTTTCAACTCTTTCCATCTTCAAATCACATTCAGATTCCATTTGGAACATCTCTTTTATATCTGCTTCATGAACACAAGATAGGCTCAAATGGAAAATGCTGCACTCTAAGTAGCCTCTGCTGAGAACTACTGAAATACAGACCAACAGATTTGTAATATTCAAATCAAATAGTTCTTTTCAACCCCAAACTATGTATCTATCTTATGATATGGACAAATCTATTGAAATAATAAATGAAAGATTAGAGTAGTTTCAAACGTATGCTATGAAAATTCTCAGATTGTGAGATACTAGCAGACTCAAGTGAATGTTAAGGGTTTAAAATGGGTCTCTTACATGGTAGCAGAGGAAGAATATGTTTTAAGAACAGAGCTTACAAAAATTTACCTATGAAAGTAACTTTCTGGTCCCTGACAGAGCTAGTTACATTTAATTCCTCCCTCTTTCATAACATCAACAAAATTGCATCATCTCTGAACAAAGATGCTCATTTCCTAATTCCAGATGGAGGCAACATGCAGCCACAGTCAGCAGCCTAAACTGAAACAGAGGAAAGAGACAAAGAAGGATAAACAGAGACAGAGGATGGAAGTCAAAACTGACAGACAGTTGGACCTTATCAAGGGACAGCTCAGTGGTTCAGGGATGGCCTGTCTAGGCTATTGAGCAGCACAGTGCTTTCTTCCATTAACCGAATTGTGCCTTTAAATAATGGCAAGACATCAACAAATACCTATCAAGAATATATTAGAAATATACCTATTAGAAAAATAATTCTAATTTCCACTGATGTAGACTTTCTACACAAGGGGCAGAGTCCAAGGAAAGCAAAGAGGAGAGCCCAGCCACAGGGGAAGAAGGCCCTTGCAAGGTGAAGACAGGACAATACAGAAAACAGTTTGTCTCTGTAGACTTTACCTAAATTACCTAAGCAGAGAGGGCCTCTTCCTGCAGCCTTTTTGTGCTCCATGCTTTTCATCTTAACTTTAAGCAGAACTTTAGCTTAAAACCAGGTTTTTATCATAATCTGTTACAAATATCTTTGTTGTAGAGTATTCATCAATCAGTAATATTCTTACTTATTGAAAGCCTTTTGGAAGCTATGTATTTCCCTTTATATTTACACAAAACCTGTAATGTACCTACAAAACGTGTATGCAAACAAAATGCCACATTACTTTAAATGAAAAGTTTCCAAAAGTTTTCTGCTAGAATAAAATATGCATTTTAGGAGTTCAGAGGATTTCTGATGTCTCTTCCTCTCTTTATCCCACTCCTTTCCAAAACTGGAAACTTATATAGCCAAAGACATTGCTGAACTTTTAGATATGACATGAGACTTCAAGTGAATGACAATGCCTTCCATAAATACATAGTATGTAAAATACTTGTGTATTTGATGAAAACTCAGGATATTCATCTCTCTTTTAAGCTCTACAGCAAAAAGACACAGAGGTCCAAAACCTGCAGTTATCAGCAACTTCAAAGTTACAGAAGAAAACATCTAAGTCACATAGTTACAATGCTCAGCAATGTAGAAGAAAAACATTCACTTCATCAGCATGTTGAAGACAGCATGAACAAATTAAAATCATTTAACCTCCCACCTGTTCTAGGATTTTCCACTCACTGTGTCACCTTCAATATAATTAACACACAACATCATACTGACTTTTGCTTCAAATTTCCCAGCTTTCACACAAAATAGAAAATTAAGTTTGTTTAAAGGCAAAAGGCTTTAGAAGACACATGTAGATAGAAGTTATAATTAAAGAAGTCCTGATCCTAGATTATGTGTACCAGGAGAAAACCCAGAATGCATGTTAAGATTTCCAGTGGGAAAGGAAGACTTTTTAGATAGGTCAGTTTTAGTAAAAGACAACTGAAAAAACCTCACATGCAACCTGTACTTACTACCTGATTTCAAAGTAGTCTTTTTCTTTGAAGAATGCTGTAGGGCAGCAGAGATGTTTGAAGAACCATATCCACTCTAAAGGATTTGAGCAAATTTGTAGATGCCTCTGCTAAAATCCTGTATCAGTTTTTCATTAAAAGCAATATTTTTCCCCAAATACCTCTGTTTTGTTCTTTTTTTTTTCCTTCCCTTAATCCCAGGGTCTCCAAAATATAATGGTTCTCAAAACTGTCTTCTTCCTAGGTCTAGTAGTGAGTCTCCAGATCGTAAGGAAGCTTCTGATGACACTTAATAAAAGCTGGGTTTTCCACTAGCTCTATTTTTACCTTGCCATAGTGAGAATCAATGAGATGAACCAAAAATCAAGAGTTCTCTCCAATCTGTAAACTCTTCCTTCTCCCTGTTACAGACAGGACTGAACAGCTCTAAGGCAATGGCAACGTGTGGGAGATGAGAGCATACCTTACATTCAAGGGTTGCCAGCACAGCTACAAAGTGCAAGATGAAACCAGCACACAGCTGCACCTTTTGGAAGGGTTCTCAGTAAAAAGATATAGAGTTAGTACCTG